GCGTGCGTACGTGAAGTTGGATTAATAAATCTTAATCTTGCTTATAGTTTGCTTAAGGTATGTTTAGGAAATAGCTGCGGTTATAAGTTAAATATATGTCCAAACTCTTGATTTATAGGCGTGAAAGGAATGAAAATTGGGACAAAAGCTCACGGCCAATGACATCGCGCCATTTGCCGCATCCCGGGGCCACGAGGTGTACTTTTGCATGCTTAGTCACCACCACTTGGCACAAAAGGCCACTTGTAGGATAGAAAGGATAATTCTCACGTGATTTGTCCCAAGTTTTCCATCCACTTGCGTTCATTAAACCGTTAAGCATGCTTAGGGCTTGTTTAGTGCGATTACTCGAGATTAAGGCGATTAGAAGAAAATTAAGCACTCTAGCCGTGCAATGACATTAGTACAAAGATTTCGGAAAGCCGACACCTTTTTAACTATGACATGTATTCCTAATTGGCCTGAAATAAAAGAAATCTTGAAACAAAACGAAGAAACTCATAATCGGCCAGATTTAATAGCTAGAGTTTTTCATGCCAAGCTTGAAGAACTAAAAAAAGATATTCTCAAAAAACACATCTTTGGAGAAGTCGTAGCGTATACATATCTAATAGAATTCCAAAAAAGTGGTCTCTCACATGCTCATATGTTAATCATACTAGCAAACAAGGATAAATGTATAGACCTGAAGAATTTGATAAAATAGTCAGCGCTGAAATACCGAATAAACATTTAACTCCACATTTATACAATATGGTCAAGAAACATATGATGCATGGACCTTTTGGAGAGTTGAATGAAAATAATTCTTGCATGAACAAAAAAAATAAATGTAAAAAAAAAAATGTCGGTTTACCTATCTAAAACAATTTTCTGACCAAACTTTACAGGTAAGCAATTCATATTCAAAGTATCAGCGTTCAAATAATAATGTTATAGTCAAAGTTAGAGGCCATATGTTAGATAATAGATGGGTGGTTCCATATAACCCATATTTACTTGCAAAGCTTAATTGTCATATTAATGTAGAGATTTGTTCCACCATGCGAGCTGTGAAATACATTTATAAATATATTTGTAAAGGCCACGACAAAATTGCATTTCATATAGACACATCTAATCAAAATATACAGGTAGATGAAATAGAACAATATAGAATTGCACGTTGGGTTTCTCCACCAAAAGCTGCATGGAGGATTTTTCGATTTCCAATTAGAGAAATAAAGCCTGCAGTTATTAATTTACCAGTCCATTTACAAAACTATCAAACAATCAGTTATAGAAAAAAAGATATATTAGAAAGAATAATTAATCACCCAAAAAATCATAGATCTATGCTTACAGAATTTTTTTATATGAATTGAACAGATTCATATGCACAAGAACTAAATTTATTGTACGTCAATTTCCTGAATACTTTGTTTGGCTACCTGAGGAAATAAAATGGAAAAAGAGAAATGGAAGAGATTCAATAGGCCGAATAGTAACTGTGCATCCTAATGAGGGCAATAGGTATTATCTTAAACTTCTTCTACTTCATGTTAAATGCCCAAAATCCTTTGAAGATATCAGATCTTTTAATGGAAAAATTGTCGAGTCAAATCATGAAACTGCTCTTTTAAGAGGCTTATTACAAGATGATAGCACACAAGCAATGTCTAAAAGAAGCTGTGGTCTTTAAAATGCCATATGAAATGAGGAGACTATTTGCTAACTTACTTGTTTATTCATGCCCTAACAACCATAGAGATTTATTTTATAAATTCGAAGAAGCTATGTCTGAAGATTTTTCGAGGAACTCAAACTTGAGTGGCATAGATATTAAAAAAAAAAGTTTTCCAACAAATAAATGATTTTTTAGAATCAATGGGAAGAAGTATTCATTCATTTAACATCTTGCCAGATAATTTGACCTTACATATTGAAGAAGATAATAGAGAAATAATCGCTGAAAGAAATATTATCGTTTGTCAAGATGATTTAAATGTTATATCGTTACTTAATAAAGACAAAAAACAAGCTTTTATGATCATACTGGAGCGTGTGTATAGAGAAATCGCACTCACGCTTTAAAATCCCAATAGATCTATCAAAGGGAAATTCATGTAAAATTAGCAAACAAAGTAATTTAGCAAACTTGATACATTAAAGCAAACTAATTGTGTGGGATGAAGCACCAATGGCTAAAAAAACATCAATAGAAGCACTTGATCGTAGGCTCACAGATTTAACAGACTCACCTGAAGTCTTTGGTGGTAAAGTTATTGTTTTTGGCGGCGGTTTTAGACAAATTTTACCTGTGGTTCACAAGGGAAATAAACATGATACCATAAATTCATGCATTACAATTTCCTATTTCTGGCCACTACTAGAAAAAATTCGACTAAAAGAAAATATGAGAGCCCGATTTGACCCTTCGTTTACTAAATTTTTGTTATGAATAGGGAATGGCATAGAACCCACATACAGTAACAATTCAGTTCGTTTACCTCATTCGCTTATATTGACTAATGCTAATATAGAAGATGCTCTTGACCAACTAATTTCTAGAATTTATCCTAATTTTCAAACTGATTCTGTACAAAATGCCGACAATATCGATGACAGAATGACACAAATCCCAATTTTCAAATGAACAGAGCAATCTTATCTACTAAAAATTCTTTTGTCGACGACATAAATAATAAATTAATTAATGCTTTTCCAGGTGAAATGGTTGAATATCTCAGCTTTGATGAAGTAGTTAATCCTATCCATAAAGGTTTTTATGAAGATGTAATAAATTCTTTGACCCCTGGTGAATGCCCCCTCATAAGTTACAGTTAAAAGTTAATGCTCCTGTTATGCTACTCCTACGGAAGGTTTGTGTAATGAAATATGACTCATATGTAAAAGATTAAGTTGAAACATTATCCACGCAGAAATATCTGTTGGAGAATTCACAGGAAAAAATGTTTTTATTCATAGAATTCCATTAAAGATAACCAAGTGCCTGTGGCTTACACAAGAACACAATTTCCTATTAGACTTTGTTTTGCTATGACTATTAATAAAGCTCAAGGTCAAACACTAGAATCAGTCGGTATGTATTTAAAGGAACCAGTTTTTTCACATGGACAACTATATGTAGCGTTATCTCATGCAAGACAATCATCGGCCATTAAGTTTGTAATCAAACCACCTTTTTTCAACCCACATGAATTTGATATCACGAAAAACGTGGTATACAATGAAGTTCTTGAGGCAGCTTCAGTAATGAAATGTACTTAAATACATTTTAATTTTATTTCAAAAACATGATATCATTTCTGCACAAATGAAATTATTTTAAATACCGAATATTTTTGCTAACTGCCTCTGCCTTCTATTACAAATTTCTACAGGTGACAATGTCGAGGATATATCTACCGATTAAAGAGATTACAGAAGCCACCAACAACTGGACTACGCTTATCCAGATTGTTGAGATGTCACCCGTTACCAGAGCAAAAATGATTCCACAATGCAGTATCGCAAATTCTTATTCACAGATGAAGAGTAAACAATTACTCAAAATATTTCTTTTGTTAATTTAACATAATAGTGATTTGCTTAAATACTACTAAATTATTACCACTGCATAACAGGGCACAAAAGTTGCTGGAGTTGTTTACAACACTGTCATTGACGAATTTGCGCCACCGTTGCTGATGCCATACAAAATGTACTACATTTCCGGAGCAAAAGTACGTCCAGAAATACCACTGTATCAGGTTGGTGATTACAAGTACAAATGGACTCTAATTAAAGGTACCAATGTTGAAGAATATGAAGAACCCCTGCCTCCACAACTTCTATGCTTAACTGAAATTCATCCATTTGAAAATTTTCACAAATATGCAGATACAGAGAATCCCTGAAGTGAGTATTTTATATTCTTTCATTTAAGAACATTAAAAAAAACAAGCATTTCTGACTAAGTTAAACTGACAATTCCTAAATTTGCAAACTATCTACAGGCTTGCTTGCAGTTGTTGTTCATGCTTTTCCAAAAAGGACTGTTGGTACTGTTGTCGTGTGGATTTGTAACAACATATTTAACGTAGATTTGCGTAATTCACAACATATAATAACGATAATTTGGGATTTTTATTAATTGATGTGCGACCCGTGTTCGTGTAATCGAAGTGAAAGTATATAGTGTGGTCCCAAAAACCGATCCCCCTCTACTGAGAGAATCTGAGACTATATATAGTAACTTTTTCTTACACGCCGTTCGAGACCTCCAATAATCTCACTCTAATAATTCAAAATTTTTACTTAAAAGTAACTTCGAATGGGCGATTTTGTCAGTGGGGTCCACCATTATTATGACATTTGGGCACGAAATGTTAGGAGATCGCATGGGCGTCTTGTCACCTGCTTTGGTATCGATGAACTCGGTTGTTTCCGAGGTGGGTTGTGTCGTCGGTAGACGTTTAGGAAGATCCAAGGTCAATGAGGACTTCACTTCGGTGGAAGGGCGTGATTCTGACATCATGGCGATTTTAATACGAGAGGACCACCTTTAATATATTCTAGCGTCTTAAGCTGACGTATAACTGCGTTTAATGCTGAATAATGATAATTTCCAAGTCGGTGGTCAACAGAGAGGCCCCCGGCGCTAGAAGGTATACGAAAGTGATAGCTACTAGCGTCGTAAAAAGGTATAATGAATCCGACTTGGGAATTTAACTTTCATGTCGGTTGGGACGATTTGCTCCGACTTGCTGTCGCAAGTTGGGGAAATTGTCAAGTTGTTGAGGTATCGTTCGAATATGAGCAACGTCTTCCCGAACGCGTCTTGGATGGCTTTCAGCAGTAGCTTCTTGCAAGTCGTGCCCGTCCGGCGGCGGGACTATTCCCACCGGGGGACCTTGGCGATTATGATCACACGGATGAGACGTAGCATGTGAAGCCGCGGGATGGATATCATTTTGAGGAGGTGGTGGTATTACCTGTAACTGCCGGACGTTCTCCACTGGATTTGCCACTAGCCCTTGAGGAGCCTGGGGTGATATATTGGGAAGTACCAGTGCCAATAGAGCGGTTATCCCCTTCGCAATTTCTGGATTTTGTAGGAGCGCTACTACTTCTGGGGTCACTGAGATGCTTGTGGCACGTTCAGTAGGTTGATTGGTTGGAGCATTGTTGACTTGTCCTGCGGGTAGATTGGGATTGAGAGTGTATTCACCGGTCGTGAAATGATCTTGTCCTGATTGCGACATAAGGGAAATACAGAAGAACAGTGGCAGAGTAGGGGATATCGTCTGTATATCGAAGATTAACCTCAAATATTTATGAGGCCCCCCTTCTAGCGCCAAACTGTTGTCGTATGGATTTGTAACAACATATTTAACGTAGATTTGCGTAATTCACAACATATAATAACAATAATTTGGGATTTTTATGAATTGATGTGCGATCTGTGTTCGTGTAACCGAAGTGAAAGTATATAGTGTGGTCCCAAAAACTGATCCTCCTCTACTGAAAGATTCTGAGACTATATATAGTAACTTTTTATTACACGCCGTTCGAGACCTCCAATAATCTCACTCTAATAATTCAGAATTTTTACTTAAAAGTAACTTCGAATGGGCGATTTTGTCAGTTGGGTCCACCATTATTATGACATTTGGGCACGAAATGTTATGAGATCGCATGGGCGTCTTGTCACCGGCTTTGGTATCGATGAACTCGGTTGTCTCCGAGGTGGGTTGTGTCGTCGGTAGACGTTTAGGAAGATCCGAGGTCAATGAGGACTTCACTTCGGTGGAAGGGCGTGATTCTGACATCATAGCGATTTTTATACGAGAGGACCACCTTTAATATATTCTGGCGTCTTAAGCTGACGTATAACTGCGTTTAATGCTGAATAATGATAATTTCCAAGTCAGTGGTCAACAAGTACTAACACAACACGTGAACTGATCATTATCAACGAAGAGTAAGAAACAGATTTAACTAAATCAAGCACAAACAATGAATGCATTCATTCTTTCATTCATTATTTTTATGTTCTGCAGAATGAAACCAATAGTTTTTACACTATGGAATAAGTTCGAGAAAGATGATGGTGCAACGCTGGCTAACACAATTGCAGCAGCTAACATTGTCCTTGCTCTGAGAAGCCGAGCCACCACATTTCATGGTATGATTTAGATTAATAGTGTTAAAAATACAATTTACTTAAATACCAACACTTACTTAAAACAACTTTTTTGGCATCAAGGATTGTCGTTGTCGACTAAAGTTGGGACTTGCTTGATGGTCAATCCACCTATACCTGCCGCAGCCAATCTCAAACAGTGGTAAGTTCTAACCTTAATTCTCAAATAAATCTATAAATTTACATGTATATCTATTTATGTAAACAAAACTCCGTTACAGGTATATTCAGAACAAAGACAGTGTTGCAAACCTTATCGATGAAGGAGCATATAAAGACATAGATAAATTATACTCGTGGCCTGAAAGCACTGATATAATTACTGTGCAGGAGGCATTGACCTCCATCAAATATGTAAGATCTCAAATCTAAACGTTATAAATGGTGAATTAAGTAAAGCATACATGTTATTGCACAGTGAGGAATGTTAGGAAAATTCGGTTGCACTTTTAGGAAAAATTGATGATTTTTTTATTTGGTTTAAAAAAAATCGGATCAATTTGTTTGATAAAAAAAATCGGTTTATTGGGAGAAAAATCAGTTTCATTTACAGGAGTAACTAATGATTCTTTTCAATTTTTCGTAATTGAAATTTAGAATTAGATTTAAAATAAATAATGGGTGAAAATCCCTAAAAAGTTCTACTTTTTTCGACTTTAATTTTGTTTAATAAATAAGATCCTTTAATTTTTTTAAAATTTGTTAACTAATAACTAATAATATGCAATTTTGGATAAATTCGAACACCTATGTAGTACTTTACATGACAAAGAATCAAATCAATAATGTTGTATATAACGAAGTGTTTAACAACATACAAATTTCATTTTCATGAAATTTTTAATGGCATGAGACAATTTAGATACAAAAATACATTTTAAAAAATAAATAGGTAATAAAGCACTATAATCTTACATGGTGATTTAATAAATAATTTTTTTTTAAAAAAAAATAATAGGTGTCGGATTCCAATGGCAATTAAATATGAAACAGGAACTATATATGCAATGATCTGTGGGGCTGATGCAGAGAGAATTATCCCGTTCAACGAGAATGATTTGTATGAAGCAAAGAAAAATGTTAGTATTCTCCTTGCTCAATTTTTTAATGATAAAAGTGATATATAGGTTGTAGTCATTAGTATAACACATTAGTTATTAAATATCTTCACTTCCTGTTGTATGTCATGCATTCTTATTAATAAAATTACAAATTGATTGTTAAAACAAAAAACCGCACCTGTATATTTTTGCATTCTTACATTTATGTAAATAATAACAACAGAATAAATATTTTAGTCTTCTTCACACCATATAATGTGTTTATACATTTGCATTCCTTTTATGTATACCTAAAAGATTCAAATTTATATAATAGATTGGCTTCACTAAAAAACTTTACACCGACTTAAAATGACTTTAATCAATATACTTTGATTGTGCAGGGCCAAGACTTAAAAGGTGAAATTGAAGCATTGATAGAAAAGCACAGCGTTGTCTGTTTCATTAAGTATACCGAGTGTTTATCATACAATTCTAAAGCTCTATACCACTGACCACATGAGCACCGGAAGAATATGCTTGAAGAACAACTCTCCAAAAAAGACGCAGCCAGTTCATCATCAGCTCAGGTGCAATACACTACAATTGCAATTTGTAGTTCTTGACATTCTTATTCAATCAATAAAAAGACGCAGCCAGTTCATCATCAGCTCAGGTGCAATATACTACAATTGCAATTTGTAGTTCTTGACATTCTTATTCAATCAATAACCTACCGTAATTCTTCTATTTTATAAAACAGGTTGTGGAAAAAAACTCTTCACCCCAACACTAAAAAATGTGCTCCAGTCCGTTGCCATGAAAATTGAGAAAGATCCAAGCATAGGAAGTTCATAACCACTTTTTAAAAAACGCATCAACTTTGAAAGCCAACCAACAGCCTCCTCCTCAATCACAACTGCCACACCATCGAAACAAGCTTCACCAAAACCAAGTCAATTCAATCTTGAAACACATACAGATCTACCTGCCAACCCTTCAAAGAAAAGTCGACCCAAAATGGATTGACGCCTCGACACCTCCAGTTTTTGACTTTTGGATCGACACCTCGAGCTTTTGGCTTTTGGACTAGAAAAAGATAAAGAATGGATGCTTCTTTTGTGTACAAATTTGAAATTTGCAGGGTTAAAAAAAAACTAACTAAAAACTGATATTTTTGTAGCCAAATCCTTGACAGAATTAAAGGCATCTATTTGCATATAGATGCTTTTGGATTCTGTAAAAAGAAAATACTCAATGTGCTATGCTGATGACTAACTATGCTTTTGTGTATTGTCACTAACTACTATACTCCCAACATCTTTTGATCATCCAATACTTTATCTTTTATGTTTTGCATGCTTCATACAGGATTAAGTACATAAACTTGGACCGACTGTCCCTTGCACAACACTACCCTCCTAGTAAACAATAAATAAAATTATTTATCTTTATTTTTAAAATTAAATTATCCAAAAAATAATAAAATTATAATTCAACAATATGAGTTAGGGCTGTTCAATCGGTCGAAACCGAACCGAGCCGACCGAAATTTCGGTTTACCCAACCTTCAAACCGAAAAGCGAACCGAACTTTATGGTTCGGTTCGGTTTTTAACCGAAAATTTATGGTTCGATCGGTTATCCGATAAAATAGAAAAATGACAAAAATAAAATTTACAAATAACAATATATACTACTTGAATTTTACCAAAACACACTAAAATGCATAAGAAGAAGAAAAAAAAAATAATAATGTCCCAAAATACAAGTTTATCAAGTCAGCAACACAGTCACAGAAGCAAAATGGTTCAACATATCAATAATTTGGAAACCCACTAAACGTAATCGTTCAGCAGCAGCTTACTCAAATTAAATTGCTCAAATCAATGAATCATAGGCACAAAAATTCACCAAAAAATTAAACAAGAGCTTGAATTGGGTGGCTGCAGCCCGTAAGATGAATCACAGGTTAAAACTTAAGAGAAGAACGAGAGATTCAAAATCAGAAAAGAAAGCGTCGCCATCGAGAGCGGCTGCCGAGTGTGTGCGGGAGCAGGAGCGACCGAGCGAGGGTCGAGGTGATTTGGGATTTCAGATTCCGATTTGGGATTTCCGACTTCAGAGCGCCGACGCCGAGCGATCGGAGATGGAGTGTGTGAATGTGTGCGCCGTACGGCAGACGGGTGGAGAAGATGGTAGCCGTAGGTAGGGTTTCGGCAGACGGGGGATGGAGTAAATGTGATAAAATGTGACGATTCTGATTAATTTCTGTGAGTAAATGACTAAATGTGACAGATTGGATCGATAAAGTCATCAAATCGGGCCTTCTTTGTGGTGGGCGGCCCGTGCTAACTTTGGGCTTGTGTTAATATGAATAATATA